ATCACCTATAATTTCACCATCATTGACATAGTTGTACTCTCTTGGAAAAGATACTTCCCTTTCTTCAATGGTTGGATTCTCGAGGGGATCATGAGTTTCCTCATCTTTTGTTTCTTCCTTTGATGATGATTCTCCAACGTCATGTCTAACGTCATTTGCTTGTACAATACCTACATCATCATTAACAGAAGAATCCTTCCTTGGAAGGGGATTATCATCGAAAACAACATGTATAGACTCTTCTACAACTAAAGTTCTTTTATTAAATACACGATAAGCTTTAGAATTTAAGGAATAACCCAGAAAAATTCCTTCATCACTTTTAGCATCAAATTTGCCAAGATTTTCTTTACCGTTGTTTAAAACAAAACATTTACATCCAAAAGAATGAAAATAACTAATGTTAGGCTTTTTATTTTTGAGAATTTCATATGGAGTTTTCTTTAAAATTGGCCTAATCATTACTCGATTTACAACATAACAAGCGGTATTTGTGGCTTCCGCCCAAAAATATTTTGGCAAATTATTTTCACAAAGCATGGTTCTAGCCATTTCTTCTAAAGTTCGATTTTTCCTCTCAACAACTCCATTTTGTTGAGGGGTTCTAGGTGCTGAAAAATTATGGCTAATACCATTAGAATTACAAAACTCAATAAATCCAAGATTTTCAAATTCAGTTCCATGATCACTTCTAACACTAATGATAGATTAACCTTTTTCATTTTGGATTATTTTTGAAAATGTGATGAAATTTTCTAATGCTTCATCTTTAGTACTTAAGAATAGAACCCAAGTGTATCTAGAATAGTCATCTACCAAGACAAATGCATATTGTTTTCCTCCCAAGCTAGTAGTTCTAGTTGGCCCAAAAAGATCTAAATGGATCAATTGTAATACTCTACTAGTTGATACATCATTAATAGATTTAAAAGAAACTCGTTTTTGTTTTCCTTTAGCACAAGCATCACAGATTTTATCATTATCAAATTTAAGCTTAGGCAACCCTCTTACTAAGTCTCCTTGAATTAACCGTTGCAAAACACTCATACTAGCATGACCTAGTCTCCTATGCCATAACCAACTATCATGCTCATCCTTAGCAACTAGGCATAAATTAGTCATATCAATAGAATCTAAATGCACCATGTAAATGTTTCTTATTCTATGACCAACAAGCATAATCCGATTAGATGCAATGTCAATGACTTTACAACCATTAATTTCAAATAAGACATTGAATCCTTTATCGCATAATTGACTAATACTCAATAGATTATGCTTTAATCCATTCACATATAAAACATTCTTAATTTGTATGGAAGAGGTATTACCTATTGTACCAATACCTTCAATGTGACCTTTTGAATTGTCTCCAAAAGTCACTTCTCCTCCATTTTTGGCGTTAAGCTCAATGAACCGGCTTTTGTCTCCGGTCATATGTCTTGAGCATCCACTATCAAGGTACCATGAATTTGAATTTGTTTCCCGTGCCTTGTAGCAATGCTCCTTTCCCTACAAACATAGATTAATTTTTGATTTTTGGTACCCAAATTCTTTTGGGTCCATATTCATTAGTTTCCAAAATCCTAGTCCCCTTAGGTATCCATTTGTGTAGGATATTTTTATCTTTAGTAGTAATGAGTTCTTTAGGAACCCACATACTTCTAATGATTTTTCCATTAGAGGTTCTTTGGGGACCTCTATGATTGTAGTTTCTAAAACTTTTTCTAACAAAGTTGGATTTTGAATTTCCATTTTTTTCAAAATGTTTTGTTCCAACTTTATCAAAAGAAGTTTTAAGATCATCAATTTTCTTTTGATGATCATCATTGATCTTTGAAAGTAAATTTTGCAAATCTAAATTTTTCTTTTCAAACTCTTCTAGTTTGATTTGCAAATCTTTGATTTTACTTTCAAGATCGTTGTTGGTTTTGGATATGAGTTTGTTTTCATTTTTCAATTTTGAAACATCATTTTTATATTTTAAAAACAATTTCTCATAATCCGAAGCCAACCCATTGTACTCCTCAAATAACTCATCATAAGATAAATCATCAAAATCGGATGAGTTAGAGGTTACCATAGAATCTTCCCTGAATGCCATCAAGCACAAGTTTGCTACTTCTTGTTCCTCTTCATCGGAACCTTCTTCATCGCTCCATGTAGCCACATGAGCCTTGTGCTTATTCTTTGATTGACTCTTTTTCTTCAATTGTGGGCAATCATATTTGACATGCCCCGGCTTTTTGCATTCATAGCAAATGATTGGGTCCTTCTCTTTTGGTTCATTTTTGAGGCCTTCGTTTCGTTTGAATTTTCTTCCTTGGTAAGGTCTCATCATTTTTCTGAACCGTTTGGCAAACAATGCAATTTCCTCGTCATCATCATTATTAGAATCACTCTCATCTTTTGTGGATTTGAGAGCAACTCCAATATTTTTCTTCTTCTCCTTTTCCTTTGGTGTCTCTTCAACTTTATCAAGGTCCACCTCATCTTCGAGCATCATCTCATTAGTGAGGAGTGAACCGATAAGTTCTTCAAGAGTTAAGGACGATAGGTCCTTAGACTCAATGATTGCCGTCTTCTTTGATTGCCATGATTTTGGGAGGGAGTAGACTAACTTCCTCACAAGCTTTTCATTTGAGATGATCTGTCCATATGATTTGAGACCATTGATAATCGTTGAAAATCTATCCGTCATAGCTTTGATGTCTTCATTTGGTTTCATCCTGAAATTTTCATAGCTATGCGTTAGAATACTAATTTTTGATTTCTTTACCTCATATGTACCTTCATGTGTGACTTGAAGCTTGTCCCATATTTCTTTGGCGGTTGTACACGATTAAACTCTTCCGTATTCATCTAGTCCAAGAGCACAAAAAATAATATGGATGGCTTTGGAGTTGAGCTGGAACATTCTTGTCTCTCCTTCACTCCACAACCTTGGATGAGTGATAGGCTTGATGTATCCTTCTTCTACGGCATTCCATGCTCCCATGTCACTTGCTTGAATGAAGTACATCATTCTATTCTTCCAATAGGCGTAATTAGCTCCATTGAAGAAAGGAGGCTTGTTGACGGGCATCGAATCAAGACCGGAGTCGTAATTTGAAGTGGAGGCCATTGATGACTTGGTAATCGATGTAACTCTTCCCGAATCGACTCAAGAGGTGATTAAACCTTCAAATGAGTGAGGCTCTGATACCAATTGTTGAGTTAATCGATCTACGGAATCGGCCAAGAGGGGGGTGAATTGGCAATTAAAAATTTCGTGGAAACTTTTGCAGAAAATTTAAAGTAATTGCACAGCGATTTACAGTGGTTCGACTTTCTCAAACAAAGTCTACGTCCACTACCTTAGCTATCCACACTAAGGATTTTCCAACAAATTCACTAATTTGTTCTTTCTTTTTAGGCCAAAGAGATAACCTTACAATTCCCTCAATAGTATACCCCAACTCTTGAGAACACTCTTTTCTCAAAGAGAAGATTACAAATTTGCAAACTTACAAGAAAACCTCACAAGGTAAGATGTTTGCACAATTCTAGAACAAAGAAAAGAACACTCAAAAATGAATACAATTGAGCACAAAAAATGTGTTCTTGAAAGAAAAATGAATATTGAATGAAAATAGGCTTGAAATGCTCAAACTTGAGGTTTGATGCTTTCTCTTTGATTCTCTCTTGATTCTAGTTGCTTGATGTTTCTTGTTATTGATCAATGACTTCTAAGATTGCTTAAATACACCTTGGATCACTTCTGAACGTTGGGGATGATTAGAGAAGATATTATAGCCGTTTTAGTGTGAAAACATTTAATAAAACAGCTTGGAGCGTGGGGGGAATCGGTTCCCCCTTGAAGGGAATCAGTTCCTAAGTGTAAAATTCAAATATTTCGACCGTTGTATAAGGGGGGAATCGGTTCCCTCCGAGCATACTGGAATTCTCGGAGCAAAACTGTTTAGGGGGGAATCGGTTCCTCCTATGGGGGGAATCGGTTCCCTCCGACCATTCTGGAAATCTCGGGGCCAAAACCATTTAGGGGGGAATCGGTTCCTCCTATGGGGGGGAATCGGTTCCCTCTGAGCAATCTGTAATTTTTGGCTTTGAATTGGTTCGAAATACTTTGTAAAATTATTTTGAAATTGTTTTATGATTAAAACTTAATTTTACACTTAAGTAAGGATTAAAAATGATTTTTGAAATATTTGGAGTAATGTTTTGATATTCGAATAGTTATATCGAATATACTTAGAAAATCATTTGGAAAATCTTAAAATCCATTTAACTTAATTTGTTATATCGAAATATCAAAATGTTTCAACAGGGTGTTTAATAATTTTTTTGATGTTTTCTATTTAAAATTTAATGTATAATAATTTATTAAACGTAATATAAAAACAATTTATAAGTAAATTTTTTTAGTTTTGTTTGTTCTTATAATTCAATTTTTTTATACTTGTTATTAGGGTCTAATTTTTATTTTTGCCCCAAATTACTAAAATTTCAAAAACAGGCCTCATTCTATGTTATGCATTATTATATAATTTCAAATGATTAACTTAGAGGAAACATATTTGGTTGGTTTATCAAATTATTCATTTTTATTCTCTCATATTTTTTTTTAAGTTATGAGTTCTAAATTCGTTGGAAGATTCCCCTTCCTTCTCCTAGAATCTTTCATTCCACCTCTCCTCTAAGTAAGATTAAATTTAGAATTTATTAAAAAAATAACTTACCTTATTTAAAAAAGTTCGGATTACTTACATTATTTTATAATTTTAATTTCATATTTATATTATTTTCAACTCACATCATATTATTATGGTATTTTCAAAGGATGAGTTGGTGTTGTTTTGGTATAATTTTGTTTTGCTTAGCATGTATATATTAAAAGGAAGGTAAACATCCCTCCGGTTTTATATGACCAAATCTTCCGGATCAAAGGTCGTCCATCAGAAAGCAAAGAGAGGGTTGGGGAGGGGAGGGGAAGTGAAGGGAAGGAGGCTCAGTTTTCTTTCTTTCCTTCCTATACCTGGAAACCTCTTTTTTCGACCTGTTAGAGCAGCCGCCATTGTCGTTCCTGTAAACAAAAAAAAAATGGAGGGAACAGAAAATTTAATGTGCCGATCAGGTGACTCATTTAATCCCTGGATCACTAGCAGCTTTCAGGTCTCCTGTATTCTCGTCACTTCTCATATCTTTCACGTTCTCTTGAAACCCTTGGGACAACCTGGTCCCTTTGCACAACTTCTTGTGAGCATTTCGTCTTCATTTTTCCATTTTCAAATATCTATCTATCTATTTATGCAAGTAATGTTGTTGTTCTGTACATGCAGGCTGGTGTGGTGGTCGGCCCGACATTGTTGTCCCGTATAAGCAAAGTGAAGGATTTCTTCATACAGGCTTCCTCTGCAGAATACTATATGTTCTTCTCTTTCTTATGTCGGATGCTGTTCATGTTCTACATCGGCTTGGAAACCGATATTCCTTACGTAAAGCGTAACATTCGTGTCGTGAGTATGGTTGCCGGAGGGGGTTCGATCTTGGCCTGCATCTTCGCCGTACCTCTCTTGTGGTTGCTCAGCAAGGTGTTCAATGTGTCCGGCTACGGCTTCACTTTCTACCTTCTCATCTTCACCGTCTTGGCGAATTCGGCCTCTCCGGTAGTCCTTCGGATGATCGCCGAAACCAAGTCCGACACCTCCGATTTAGGCCGACTGGCGATCTATACTTCCCTTTTCAATGAAATGTCTTGCGTCGTGATTGTTTCTCTACTGACGGCCTTCACAACCAATGCAAAATTTTTTGGCGCAATCATTGCCATTGTTTTTACGGCCACCGCTGTCTTTCTCAACAAGTACCTATCGTTGTTTTTCAACAAAAGGAATCGGCACAATAGATTTGTCACCAACAGTGAAATCTTCATTATCATGTTTCTTCTTACCAGCGTGTCTGCGATTTTGGAAAGCAATGGCTACACATCTATAACATGTTGTTTTTTGGTAGGTCTCATGTTCCCCAGGGAATGCAAAACCTGTCGGACATTGCTGCATAAACTCACTTATGCAGTGAATAACTTCATACTTCCGGTCTACTTCGGCTACGCCGGATTCCAGTTCGATATAACCAATCTCTTTAACAAACTCACGATTCTCCTCGCTGTCATCATCCTCCTTCTCAGTGCCGGCACGAGAACCGTCGGTACGCTCGCCGCTTGTTATTACCTGAAGATGCCGAGGAGCGAGTCTATCATCCTTTCGTTATTGCTCAACATGAAAGGCAATTACGACCTTATAATCATCAATACTCCTCCTGTTACCGGTGTAAAGTTCCTAATTCTCTATTGTCACCTTATGATCATTGATATAAATGCTGCTCATACTATGCTTTTGATCGCTGCAGAAGCTGTGGGAGGAAGATATTCACAACTTGTTTGTGAGCGTAGTGATTCTCAAGACGTTGATCGTTGCGCCGCTTGTTGCCGTTTTGTTGAACAGAGACGTCTGTTTTGCTCATTATCCTACCACACTCGAAATACTTAATCCGGACAGCGAGCTTCGGCTGATGGCGTGTGTGTACATCCCACGCCATGTTTCGGGGCATGTCAGCCTCATCTCGGCGTTGAGCGGCTGTCAAACTGCAACTATCAAGCCTTATATGGTGCATCTGGTTGAGCTTCCGAAGAAAAGGAAGAGCAAATTGATGTACCATCAACTGGAAGAAGGCGATCAGTTCAGCGACGAGGAAGAGTACGGTGGAAACGATATCGTCGAGATCAGCGACGCTCTCAACTCCTTCATTTCAGAAACCAAAATCTTGGTCCACCAATCTAAGATTGTATCACCCTTTCTAACCATAGATCAAGCTGTGCGCGAATTTGCCAAGGACATGCGAGTGTCCATCATTTTCCTTCCGTTCCATAAGCACCAAAGAATTGATGGGAAAATGGAAAACAGCATGGAGGAAATAAGGACTATAAACCACAAGGTTATCAGGGATGCCCCATGTTCAGTTGGTATCTTTGTAGACCGTGGACATACCGGGTTCCAACAACCACACGGCGCTCCCTCCGTGCAAAACATAGCGACGTTCTTCTTCAGCGGCTCTGACGATCGCGAGGCCTTAGCTTGTAGCAAGAGAATGTTGATGCACAGTCAAGTTAATTTGACGGTGTTCCGCTTCATACAAACCAATTCAAGCATACAAAACACGTGGGTTAACAATGCTTCCCACAAGGATGAGGTGATCATGGCAATATCGAGTGACGGAGAAGAGCACGAGATAGACAATGCCTTTGTGGACGCCTTTTATAACAGGTATGTCGCTCAGGGTAAAGCCAGTTTGATTGAGAAGCATGCGAGCAACGGAGTCGAGACGGTGGCCGCTCTAAGAGAGATATTGGGTGAAATGTACTCCTTGTTGATAGTAGGGAAGGCTGGGAGACGGAATTGCCCATTGACAACTGGTTTGAGCGATTGGGAGGAGTGTCCGGAGCTCGGGTCGGTTGGCGATCTCTTGGCATCTTCAGAAATGAATAACAATGGTTCCCTCTTGGTCGTCCAACGGCATCAGCATTCCGAGGCAGACGATGACTTCGCCACTCCGTAGTTAGTGTCACTACTAAAAATACTGCTGCTGCTACAACGATGAACAGTTATATATGCATGCATGCATACATACATACATACATGCATGTAAACTATTTGTAGCATAATGAATTCAATTCCTTCGGAATGTAGATAATCAAAGGTTCTGTCGGAGATATCAGAATGATCCAAGTTTTATTTCAAGGTAAATGGCGATTACATTACTCATTAAGTCTTTTCCTTAGGGATGAAGACAAGACGATTATTCACTTTTATAAAGCAAACCTAACAACACTAACCATACATCGTACTAAATTCAGTCCCAAAAGCTTGAAATTTCGTCCCAAGAATTATAAAACCCGTACCGGTACCATCGCCGGCAGACGTTCACAAGTACATGCTAGAAATAACGTGTTCCGAGCAGGATGAAGCATTAAAATGAAGTAATAATTCAGATGCTTAAGAAGCCTTTCTCCTTGAAGCTTTCAATGATTTCCTTAAGTTCCACATCCCAAGGAATGAAGTTGAAACCCAAGCTTTTTGCCTTCTCCTGGGATACCTTGAAACTACGTTCAAGAGGCTTGTCATCATCTTTACATCTGCCACGAATTGAACCAAAAGAAAAACATTTTTATTAGCATTTGGCAACTGACAGATACTATATGAAAAGAGAACACAATTGCTTACTTTGGTTGAGGCCCCAAGGTAGGATAAAGCTGATTCAAGGTCTTCAGAATCTCAGGGAACTGCACAACATTTTCGACTCGGCAATATCGGCCGGTAGCCGACAGAATCACGAATGCTTGAATATGTGCATACGCAGCATCTCGAACATCAACAAGCCAATAAGTTGAGCTAGGAAAAGTGTTTTCTCCTGTATCCAAAACATTTTAAACCTTCATAAAAACAAAAATGGCACAGATGAGCATCAAGGGTACCTTTGGTGAAGCCTAGAACCACCTCGGAAGTGCCACTGAGGGTGGGCTGTAAAAGAGGACCAAACATAAAGCCTGGATTAAGTACAACCAAGTCGATCCCATCTTCTTTTGCAAATTTCGAGGCCGCTTCCTCGGCTAAAGTTTTTGAGGCCATATACCAATGCTGCAAGAACCAAAGATTGACAAGTGCTAATGTGTATTTTGTTAACTTTTTATGCAGTGTTCAGATGAACATACCTTTTTTTTCTCAAAGAAACTTGAATCTGAAAACCAAGTCTCGTCGACCACCACATCAGGAGAGAAGGTTTTCCATTGAACACGACGGAGGTGTTGACGAAAACGGGTAAAGAAAACAAAAGAACACGAGAATTTTACGGGGTTCGACAATGTGTTTACGTCCTCGGTACCTAGGCGGCGCTAGAAGTTTTATTCAATGATTTTTTAGGTATAGGTTACATCTCTATTTATAATAGAAAACCCTGGTACATAATTACAAAATCAACCCTGGCAATGTGCTCACTCCGCTCCATCTCCTGTCCTCTTTACTGGTATATTTATGAGCCATACCTAACAGGAGGCAATGGAAGATGTTATGACGACTCTGTTGATGGAATGAACTTTGGCACATGATTTAAGAACATTATGACGCGAAACAGAATAACAATTATCCTGTAGGCTAGTTTCAACAGATGATTCACAATAAAAATTTCGTCCAAAAACTAGAGAAAAAAATCTCTTAGGGTTTAATAAAATATTATAAAATCAAAACCATCCAAAATCAGTCCACAAGTCGGACTGTTATAGCTAAAAATCTTGTTTATCTGAATTTTACCAAAAATAACAAAATCCCGAAAATCACTCTAAATTGAAATTCAAAATAAAATAAGCAATATGTAAAAAATCCGGCCGAAATCGGATTTAAAATGACTTCTTAATTGACAATCGAAATATTACCATAAATAGTAAAAAATATATAAATCTAGTGATTCGAATGGAAAAACGGCAGAATTTGAGGTAAAAAAAAAGCCACATTGAGCTATAAAAATATATAAATCTAGTGATTCGAAGGGGAAAACGGTAGAATTTAAGGTCGAAAAAAAAAGCCATAGTTCCATGTGGACAGCGTGCGCGTCGAAAAGAGTTTTTTGGATTGGGATCTTATGCGCGATTCTAACACCCGTAGCCAAAGTTATGGCCAAAAGACTTAAGTACACTCAAAATGGCCCCAATGAGGAACATATCACAATCAATTCCCGCCTTTGCGCTGATCTGCCAACTCATAATATCTCAACGTCATCAATGTACAATATGACAGCTCAGCATCATCTGTCTCGGATCCCCTACATCACATTCAGAGTACCCTTCACTGCTGGATCAATTAATTCTGTCTGAAAATATGGAAAAGGTGAAACAAAGTCTGTGTAGGCATTGGATTTTGGTACCATTAATATATTTCTTGAATGATAAATTTAACAGAATTAGAAAATGGACCTGTGGGTGGGAAGATGAAAAGAGAACAGGAGAGGCTGTATGGAAAACACCATGGCGTCCATCCACTATATAGTCGAAGCATTCTTCTTCCAACAACTCCGCTTTGAACAAATGGAGTCTTTCCTTGGCTCCATCAAGCGAAACCAAATGTTGTGTCTTCTTTGGATCATTTGTTTTGCATGTTTCAAACACATTCGATTTAATGTCTAAAACTAAATTGAAACAAAATTTCAATCTTTTTTTTAAAAGATAAAAAAAATACAATCTTGGGTCATGAACTGTGGCTCGAACAGTGTAGCCACGTTGTAGCAAGAGCTTAACGAGCCATGAAGCTATGTAACCAGACGCTCCGGTCACGCACACCGCCTTCTCTCCTGCATTCATCTCTAATCCACACCTTGCTTTTAACTAGTTGAATCTCGGTGTATATATAACTTTTGAAGCATGAATTTATTACATAGTTTTTTAATTAAAAATACTATATTAAGAGCCGTCCATATATTTTGAGGGTGGGGGTTAGACTCAACCAGATTTTTGAGCCATATGGTTAGGCCCGAACGAATCTGAATGGTAACAGTCGCCTCTCCTTGTCTATTTCTGAGGAACATAAATAGGATAACAATGAAATAACAATAAATTATGTTCAGACGGAGAAAAGATGATGGTCCTCTAAATTGAGGTCGTAACACCTCGAAAGAAAATAGTGATTCTTTAAGCTGAGGGGATATACATTTAAGGCTTAATAAAAAAAACTCAAATTATGTATTTTTTTAAAAGTTGTGTTTTATTGATTCGAGGTTTAACGTTATAAACATTATTATTTTAGGTGTTTGGATTATAGCAGTTGTTAACTTTCTCCGTTAATTAACACGTGTTATTCTCTGGTAATTTTTAGAGTTCTTATTTAAAATAAAAAAATATAATATTTTTTTTTAAATCCAAAATTTTCTCAAATTACAAAAAAACCTAAAATATTTTAAAACTCTAATTCCAATCCCTTTGCCACAGTCGGTCGCAACCACCACCGCACCGTCGGTCGCAACCACCACCGTCAATCGACCAAAATTCCAACGGCGTATGATTAGAAGAACACCCAACGACTGAAATCTCCTACTCCAACCTCTAGTTGCAGCGAGAACCGACGATAGAGGTGAAAATTGATGTTCACAAAAGGTTGCACTTACACTACCGTTGGGTGCTCGGGCAATTACGAAAACAAGGGGGTTTTGATCATGGGTCGTTGGTCAGTTACACGTCATTGGGTGGTCGACCGATTGACGGTGAGTGGTGGCTACCAACAGTGGCAAAGGGATTGAAATTAGAGTTTTAAAAGTTTTGGAGTTTTTTTATAGTTTTATAAAATGTTGGGTATTTTTTTTAAAAAAAATTATAATTTTACGTATTTTAAATTTAAATAACATTTGGCACGTTAAGCATTTGAATAGATCGAAAAAGGGTTTAAGCACCACTTTAAAAAAGATGTATAATTTGAACATTTTTTTCTAATTAAGCCTAAATTTTACATATGACCAGAATGATTTAACATAATTAAAAGATATATTTATGACTCAAAGATCTTAATATCATGTTCAAAGATCTGACAAATAATTCAGGCTTAATATAAAAATAAGTGTTTAAATTAATTTTTGGTGCCTAAAGAATTTTTCGTTAAAAATATGTGCCTAAAGTTTTATCCATTACACTTTTTGGTGTCCATCGTTAAAAAAAATTAAGTGACATGTGTGCACATATAATATAAACATGACACGTGTCACTTAATGATTTTTTTAAATGTGCACACATGTCACTTAACGTTTTTTTTAACACTGGACACTTAAAATGTTGCATGCAAGAATCTTATTGGTCTTTTGTTCCTCTCAACTAGGTTCCCACATTCTGGTGATGCAGCTAAGAGCAATACGAAAAGAAAATCAAAATACAACTACAAATCAAAAGTATGGACTTGTGGATTCCTATCAGATAAGACAACAGGGGAGATGGTTTGCGGTGACAGAAATATTTGTCGGGTGAACATATATATTAATAATAGAAATTTTTTATTTAGGGCAAGCATAAATAAAAATTTAAGATAAATAATATTAGTAAAATAAACAATTAATATAAAAAAATTCAAATTTTAGGATGAACATGTGTCCACTTTAAAGCCCACTTGCATTCGTTATTGGTTGTATATAGGGATGAATTGAGGGGGTGTTAGGGGTTTAAATGTAATCACACTCTTTGGGAATTTTGAATTTCCATGTAATTTAGACAATATTTGTATATTTTCTATTGATGATCTAATTTCGCATCCTAGACTTTATAATTGTATACCCTTAAGTTTTAAGCCATAATGATAAAAAATGTCACTAATATTTGACTAAATAGTCACTTTGGCCCTTTTATTTTGGAGAATTTTGACCCCTAATATTTTATTTTGGGGCAAAAAGATCTCTCTGTGGATAAAAACTGATAGTTAACAAACGGTTAACGCTCCAAAAATAGAAATCTTTTTTATCCTAAAATGAAACGTTATGGGGATAAAAATACTCTAAAAAGGAATAAGGACTAAAATAATTATTTAGTTAAACAT